TTACTTACTTACTATAGTAGTAGTAGTTATTATTATTATATATATATATATATATATATATATATACCTTATAGCACATGTTTACCTCCCCCAAAACTTAAATATACTTAGGATGACTCTTGAGATACCTTAGTAGACACTTGATTGTTGCCCAATGCTCCTATCCACAGTTGGGATAGACCATGTTGGCCACTTGGCCCAGCTTGGTTGGCCTGGTCCTAAAAAACTAATTTTTTTTTCCATATTTCCTTTATTAATCTTTTGTGCATTTAGCCTGGCCAGGGCCAAGGCCTATTCCGCCCGGTTTGCACCAAGACCAAGCTCAAGATAGCTCTGGAGGGACTAGGATTGGCCCTATAGGACAAGGGGCAGAGTTCGCCCTACCCAGACTCGGCCCATTGCCACCCTTAAGTCGGGCTGGCTGTTCCCTCTCAAAATCCATGGTATGACTCCTTTTAAAGAACATTTTTGAAGGCTTCACATAATTTGTATCCACAGTGGAGAACATGGGTTTAGGTACAACATTCTTGTCCTATAGAAACCGAGCCATTTCCAACTTCTCTTTGGCATATCTGCTTTAGCTAATCATATAGGCTAGCCCTTTTTATTTATCAAAAATGAATATTTTGGGCTAGTTAATAAAAGAAAAATATCACCCCAATAAATTTAGGATTTAAAAGTATTTCTGACGACATAGAGATCCCACGTAGTATATCTTTTAATCTTTTAGATCAATTACTCTTTTGATTGCACCTTTTTAACCCAAACAAAATGAAAAAAAAAACCTTTCTAAACCCCTCACTCTCTATCTTTCTCTCTCTGGATATTAAGGGGAGATGGGCAAAAAGAGAGAGAAAAAAGTTTGAGGGTGAAACAAAGGGAGAGAGAGAGAGAGGGAGAGAGTGAAACTCCTTATAAAATCAATTCAAATCGTTAAAAGATATATTTTGTTAGATCTCTATGCCGCCAAAAATATTTTTTCAAACACTAAACCTGTTAGAAAATAAAACCTCAAAATAGATTGTACAAAAATATTTTCCTTTAATGAAATCCCTGAGATAACTTCCACACACTGCTGGGCTGTCTTTTTTATAATTAGCTTGGAGCTTTGGACACCCTTCAAAAGACAAGTGCTATCCACACTTTTTTTAACGACATTGAAACCACGTTTCTCTTTTTTCATCGAACGTAACTTCGACAATTCGACTCGGCGGTTTTCAAATAGGCCCTTGGCAATGGCCCTAATCGGGTGAAAAACTCACATTTTCTGAAACCATTGGACATATGTAAAAAGAATATTTTCAACCAATATTCTTTCATTACTGCAATTCTATAATTGTTTTTAGAGAAAATATCTCCGTACCCTCTATTTTCAAGTTTCATTTTACAATAGACCCAAGGTTTTAAGAGATATCTTCAGACATTAAAATTGTAGATTTTGTTTCTTCTAACCTGCTGAGCTAATTTAAACATGATTTTTTAGGCCAAACAAATCTAAAACGACGCGTCTTTTCTAAAAACCATCCTCCCAAATTTCTAGAGAGAGAGAAGGGCTTCATGAAAGTGAGAAGTTATCGGGAAAAGAAAGAGCGGTTTGAAAAAACATGGGAGGAGAGAAAATGAGAGACATAAGAAGAGACAGAAATAGAGAAATTTAAGGTATATAAATGAAGAGAGAGAAAAGATTGAACTTAAAAATAACATGTTTTTCTCACATATGTTTAAATTAAAAAATAGATTTAAAGTGATTGTTAAAAGATATTTTTTAAAACCTTGAGTTTATCAAGAAATGAAACTTAAAAATAAGAGATATAAAGATATTTTTCTTTGTTTTTATAGGATAACGTTTTGTCATTAGAAGTTGCTTTGCGCCGTTTAGGGATATGTCATCAAAGTTGTTCTTGCAGCATATTGCCATGCCACATAAATTTTGTATTTTACTAAGCATGTTATGCTCCAAGCAAGCATTTAGCATCTTTTTATTTCCTTTTATTTTCATTTTTTTATCAGTGCAAATATTTATTTCAGTAAAGTCTTAGACGTTGCAAAAACCTAGAATAGTGAATCTCACAAACATTATGAATACTGTTTGATCAAAAATGGCTAAAATGTTCATAATTTGTTAATCTCAAAAAAAAAAAAAAAAAATTGAATACCGTCTGATCTGATGTCTCAAAAGTTCATAAACTTGCACAGGTCATACTCATTGGCCACAATCATTTGCACTCCCACTCTTCTTTGCATCCTTTGAAGTAAATAACACATCCAAAACATTGCAAATATTGTATGATATTCTTAGATGCTCATTCTTTATGAACTTTGTTGGATGATGAAACTTCATATGAGGTAGTTGAGGCATGCCAGACAATGAAGGAACTAGAACGTTACAAATTATCCGTGAGAAGGACACATAATCATTCTGGGGTTACTTGAATCTAATGAAAACAAACTCGATGCATTGAACAACTTTGCATAGATACAGCCAGTGGCCAGCATTGAAGTGTGAAAATATAGTTTTAGATGCAATAAACTCTTGTACCTTACAGCACGGCAATACCCACCATTCATCTAAGATTGGGTCTAATAGAGAACAAATGGATCAATCAAACAAAGTTCAATGTCTAGAGATTTTTGTGGGGCAGCATATTATACATATTCAGCAGAAGAATTGCACTATGAATACGAGTTTTAATTAACCATGAAAAACCCTAAGGAGTTGTGTATCCATGTGTGTGCAATCGTGGATAGGAGTTGAATGGCCATGAGCTTGTCGTAGGTGTTCATGTAGTCATGTGTCCTTATCTGCCTACTCTGTCCAATAAATTAATTACTCCAATTGGATCTTAAGAACTCATGCTTGTAACCTGATCTTTGCTACCAGTTACATGTGATTGAGGACAAGCCGAGCAGTTGTGCAGGTGCATGAGCACGCATGAGTCTTTTGAATACCTGTGCTTCTCACATTCTTGGAATGATCACGAAATGGGCGCCATGAGACCCAGCCTAATCAAATCATCTCCCCGCAAAACAAAGGCAGCTGACTTCTCACAAACTACATAATTCCCACATCTCACCCAAAGAAACACCCGACAAAATATCAATGATTTGATGAGCATGAACAAAATTTCCCATTGACGGTAGGTAATCAATTTGTTCAATTAAGCCACCCTGCTTCTCTGCACATTTGCTGAGGGCATTTTGGGCAACTCTCGAGGTGCTAATAAAGATTTTACAGGCAAAACCTAATCCGCAAGTCTCATCTCAGAACGACTTGACAGGAGATCCAGCCAACAGACCATAAGAACAAGAAGATGCGACTGCATTGAGGACTCAATGCCATTCTTACATGATTATGATACATGCCTAACTGAGAGAATATATGTAAGCACAAACTCACAGGAATCTTGTTAGATATCTGAATTCCTCTCCAAACTTGGAACATGAGAAAGCTGTTCTTCCAAGATATTCAGCAGATCATCGTACTCAGCAAAAACGGAGTTCGACTGGAAACACAACAATGAATTTAGAAGAAAAGCATGGGACGGTGATTCATTACAAATAATTATTTTTAGAATGATTTAATGTTGGGCAACTCATTGCACGCCACCTTTTTTAAACCACTTGTTTTCATGGGGAAGTTGACCAAGAGCAAGCCTATAATTCATTACAAATATTAAAGAGGACTATATATATCATTATCATTATCAGTGTTGTTTCTCAACTATCTAGGATTGGCTACACGAATCCTGATATATCATTCTGCTCTATAAAACGCCAGATTATATATATATATGGAAAATGCTGAGACTAACGAACTAGCTCATATGAACAAATGAGCCCAACAGCCCAGATTGAATATGGGCCGATCTGACAGTCACAATCTCATTTCGTATTAAAATTTTTAGTTTTTTCTACAAATTTAAATAACTTGAAATTTTAGGCATTCATTCTCCTCATCAAAGCGCACCTAATAAAAATATTTAAAAAATAATTCACAATAAATAAATTGATTAAAATGCCCCCGAAACATTTCAAGGGTATTTTGATCAACTTATTTCTTGCAAATTATTTTTTTGATATTTTTATTAGATTATCCTATTTTTAAAGAACACACGCCTAAAATTTCAAGTTATTTGGATTTAGAGAAAAAGAAATAAAATTCAAATATGAAATGACGTCGTGACCGTCAGATCAATCCAGATTAAATCTAAGTCGTTGAGCTCATATGAACTAGTGGAAGATGTTACGGTACACCGATTCGTGTACTGCTACAGAAAACGCCTATCTGGGCCGATCTGACGATCACGAATGTTTGATAATGTTTTATTTTTCATTTTTTGTCTACCAATCGGAATGATCTGAAATTTAGAACGTGTGTTCATAAAAAATAGGTGAATCTACCAAAAATATCAAAAAAATATTTTACAATAAATAAATTGACCAAAATACCCCCAAAAAATTTTAAGGGTATTTTAGTCAATATGCTTTTTACGAATTATTGTTTTTATATTTTTATTAGGTGCATCTCACTAAGATGTACACACGCTCCAAATTTCAGATAATTCCGATTTGTAGAAAAAAATTCAAATTCAAACACTCTCGGACAACTGTGACCTTCAGATCGACCTAGATTCAACCTGGGCCATTGGGCATTTACTATAGCGATACGCAAATGGGCACACAGGAACCTAGTCGTGGGAGGCAAGGCACACAGGGGATAGG